GCAGCGAAGGAATATTCGATGGAGTACATGCCGCACATTGCGAGCGACGACGACGTGAGCAATTTTCTGGACCACTACACGAAGGAGTCGGTGACCGACAGCTGCGCCAGCACTTTGGAGCACTCGTCGCCGTCGATTTCGTCGGACGCGTCGCAGCTCTCGTCGTGGGACGTCTCGACCGACAGCAGCACGGCCGCGCGCTTCTCGGGCTTTTCGTTTGTGGCCGCCACGACCTGCAACGAGGCCGGGTTTTAGCGATCTTCCCGCGCTTTTTTTATTAATTTAAATGTCGCTCGACTTCAACAACGTATACCAGTCCTTTTACGACATTCTGTCTCAACGGCAACACGGTTTACCAAATGCGTCTCAATCTCGTGTCTATCCGGACACGTGGATGCCGATGATGTGATTGCGTGTGCTTGGTGCCCGATGTTTACGAGTGCGCCGAACGCTCGGGGCTGCAATGAGGCCGGCGTCTTCTTCCACGGACAGTCCCGGCGACCGCTGCGGGCCCGGGATCTATGGAAGGCACATAAGTTGAAAGTTGGGCCACACAGATTGGCTACTTGCAGCTCGGCCTCTGGTGGCGCCAGCTCATGGCGCGCCAAAGTCCAACTAAGAAACACAATAAGTCGCTTGGAAGGCGCCGGCTGCGTGGACCATGTATTACTCTATCGCAGGGTCGTAGGTGCCATTGCGAGGGGCGTGATGCATGCACAAAGTCGGTAGCACCATCGTCCGTACCAGCCCAGCCCAGCCACGGCTTCAACGTCAAGTTGCCAGCAGCCGGTCGTATCCGGATGGGAGCGCGCGAGACGGTCGTGAGATTACCGACCAGATTCGCTGGCTGTCAGACCGAACGCGCAGGATTTCGCTTTTCGGCACCAACATCCGCTGCCGCAGCATGCCCGCCTCCGAGCCCGAGAGCGTCTTGTACGAGTTGGCGGCGGCCCTGCGCAAGGGCGTCGCCATCCGCACGCGCCGCTTGGGCCTGCGCTCGCACAAGCTCACGTTTCTCGGCTCCGACGCCGTGACGTGGCTTGTTGAGAACGCGGCTTGCCGCAGCCGCGACGACGCTATCGAGCTCGGGCGCAACTTGCACCACGCCGGGCTCTTTCGCCCGATCGTGGGCTCCGATCCATTCCGAGACGACAAGAACACGCTCTACCGCTTCGCCGAAGACGATGTTGGCGACGACGAGTTGAGCGGCAGCAAGTCGGTGAGCGTCAAGCCGTCGGACGGCGTCAAGCCGCTCGTCGAGCGCCTCACTGGCCGCCGCACGTCCGTGCCAACCAAGGGTATTCGGTCGCTCTTACTCAAGAAGAAGGCCTTTTGCCCCATCGAGTCGCTCCTGACCGTCGCGCCGGGTACGACCTTTGGCTTTGAAGACGGGTGTCCATTCTTCTTTCCCGCGCACACTGTGCACAACTCGATCGCGCTCACGCTGCCCGTCGTCGAGACGATGAAGAAGGCGTTTGCGTCCCACGACATGCGCGCCCGAGAGAACGCCGTCTACGGGCTCCGCAAAGAGGTGCTCAAAGCCGCCGACTCAAGCGATAAGAACTGGATGTACATCAAGAACGTCCAGGGCCACCACGGCAACGACGTCCGCGTCTTCTATCGCGATGCGGTCGGCGGCTTCCACACCTTTTTAACCGTCGGGGCGATCCACGTCCCGCCGGCGACGTTTGTCGAGCATTTTCTGGACCACGAGGAGCGTGCGAAGATGGAGGCGTTCTACGAGGCCGGTCAAACGGTCGAGGACCTCCTCATGGCCCACACGCGCGAGATGAAGGTCAAGCACCACATCCATCAGCCGTTCTGGGACGCCAAGGCGCCGTGGTCGCCCGACCAGAGCATGCATTCGATCTCGGGCGACATTGCCGACGTGACCGCGCACCACATGAAACCCGCGGAAAAGTACCCGCAGGTCGCGCCCGGTACGATTGTCGAGGAGCCGACGCAGCAGCAGCTCATTGGCGGCGGCACGCAGCGCATTCTGTACCGCACCATGAGCAGCGTCTCGCGCGTCGTGAGCAAGCGCGACTTTGTGACATTCCAAGACTCGTTCTCGATGGCCAACGGCGGCCACGTGGTCTACGAGATCTCGGTCCAACACCGCGACATTCCGACGTCGTTGCCCGTACATCGTCTTCGTGTAGGAGATGATATATCATTAGACGTTTCTTGTGTAGAGCTATACCCGCGGCGAAGTGCTCTGCCTCGCGCACATTGCCGAGCCGATCGACGGCCTTCCGACCGCGTGTATGCTCACAGTCGTGACCCAAGTCGGCTTCAAGGGCAAGATGCCCGAGTTTGTCGCCAAGATGATCTTCGACAAGCTCATCACGCGCAGCTTCGAGTCGCAGGTTCACGCATCAAGAAGCAAAGCGTCTCGACCTTACGACAGAGTCGTAGATGTGCGATCGGGTCACGGACAATACCGAGATCATGGCCGGCGCGTTCGCCAACGTCCCGTACATCACGGACGACAGCCAGACGGACGACTTTGAAAGCCGTGCGACGCTCCTCGACTTTGAAATTCTCGCTGTGCTCGGTCGCGGGTACTTCGTTGTGCATGCGAAACTATCAGGGTATCAACTACACATTTGTAGCGGGTTTGGTAAAGTGCTGCAAGTACGCCACCGCAAGACACAAAAGGTGCACGCCATGAAGGTCCTCAAGAAGGAGAATATTGTCCACGACATTCAAGTACGCCCCAGTGAATAAGTCTTGCGAGTTGACTTGTGATTGGCAGGTCGAGCGCACGCGCACCGAGCGCAGCATCCTCGCGGCCGTCGAACACCCGTTCATCGTCGGTCT